GATGACATGATCACATGTCACTGCAAGACTTCATTGCCCACTTGCCAGCACACACATATACAGGAAGACTCACAGGTAAACACAGCCATCTGCAGACAATGGGAGTCATCAAGATTCCAAACCATCATGAATGGCCCACACTTTGCATAATTACAATAGGCCCTCAGAGTTACATTTTATATTTCTAGTTTTAGATACAAGGGTGGTACATTTATACAAATCGGATGATCATACTCAGTAGATTATGAGCTTTGTAATGATACCTTACAAGAGACCTTTTGCATGAAGCATATCCCAGTTACGTTATATTCACTTATTACCATATTTTTCTAACACTATCCCAGTTACATTATATTCACTTATTATCATGTTTTTATAAAACCATATAGACTGCACAACGTCACAGTTCTTTTTTTTGGGGGGGGGGGGAAAGGTTGTCTCCAAGGCTCTCCATTTTCCTCACCTACAGGCCCTGCAACGTGTTGCTTTTCTTCTTTACACCCTGGCTCTGTACTACAGTGAAATCTTCCCGTGCCAAACAGTTCTGTCATCTAGAGAGGGTCATTAGAGACTGATGGGATGTTCTCCATCTTACTCAGTATCTGATGTCTTTGCAGCATCAGAGAGTTCAAGGCCAGAAAGAACCATCAGGCTGCTGGGGTGGTGAAGAAAGAGATAAGAACAGGATATAAAATCTATTTCCTGTAGTCTTCACTGGTGGCCTACACCGTGGGCATGTCCTCAGTGGTTGCATTTAATAACCTGTGTTGATTAATATCAGCCATCCTTTAAGGACTGTTCATCAAAAGCCCATGGAATATCGAATGCAAACCACAAACGTACCATACAAGTTGCAGCATCCTGTTTGCTTGGCATGCCACCAAAACCAGAAAGTGGGCGAGACCACTGGTCACACCAGAAGGGCTATCAGCACCCAGGACTCTACAGATTCTTGAATTTTTTTATTCTGTGTTACCCTTAATGAATCCATTTCAACCCAAAATATAACAAACATGTTTTCAAATCTAACCACCTTGTCTGACTCCTGCCTGGGCAGCAGTTGAAGTTCCAAGCCAGGAATGAAGCAAATGTGTTTTATTTTTCTTCTCTGCATCCGTTACAGATTCCGCTCCCCCTTTAATTTGTTATGTCAGTTAGCATTGCCCTCCTCAAGGCAAGAACTTTCTATTCAGCCTGCAAGAGGAAATGTTGCAATGTTGGAAGAGGTGGGATGAGAAATCTTTGGCAATTGTTCTTAGGCGGGCATCATTGGCAACTTAGCACAATAATTTTTCACAAGAAAAAAAAAACATCTTGCCTAGGAAACTGGGATCTTGCTGAGACGGTGTTAGGAAAATAAATATCTGCTTTTATTTCATGCTGTTCCCTATTGGGATTTAACATTCTGCTTGTGTAGCTCTTTCATACCAAGCGAACTTTCAAAGTAACCCCCGCCATTCCATTGCCAAGGTGCTTTTAAAGACACAAGCCCAGGTTTATTTGCTAAACTCCACCTCGTCGCGAATATTTTTAACTGTTTTTTGTTTCTAATTCAGACAGAGTTACTGGGCTTCAGAGCCTCCAAAATGTAGGTGGCTTGCTTGAATCCTCCCCAGGATTATTATTATTAACACTGGATTTCTTGAGGACCTGTGTGAGGCAGGGCCTACGGTTACCTGAGACAGGTGTTCACATAGAAAAAGTATACCCACCACAATTGCTACGGACTTTCACCCATTTGCAGCCTAAAGACGTAACAGTGCTTGGAGACGCCCCCCCGGAGAGGATCCCACCGGATCAGGGTGCAGAGACTTTTCGAAGGGGCACTCTTGGGACGTTTGTACTGCAGCTACTCTTGCTTATTGTATGTAGATTTTGGCTCACTGACATCCATCTTCGGGGCACGTTACACTAAAATGCCGAGGGAGAGGGCTGAAAGATTAAGGAGAGCGTTCCATAGCCTAGTGGAATGGAAAAACACAGAGCTATCGCCAGTGGAACTGTTTTGGCCACGGTTGAAGTTGATGGTAAACATCGATTCACTTCAATGGGGCCTAGACTCTTCCAAGCCATGACATTCAGATCCTGTTCTGATTTTACCCAACCCTGAGAGAGTTCAGATCTGGCATGTTGGCTCGACTTTTTAACAGGTCCGAGGGGAGAGAGGGGATGGGGGGGACAGTCACAAAGTCTGGACTTTGGTTTCATCCTATTTGTCCTTTGGATATTGTAACACCACTTGGGAAGCCATCCATGGCTCAGCTCAGTGCATTTCACTGTCAGGAAGCTTTTTCCTGATGTTCATCTCCTTTCTTATTGACGTCAGAGTGCGGATAGAGATGCCTCACGCAATGACCTAAATGCTGTACTTCACGATTTCAGTGCAAGAACTGGATAAGTTTCAACCTGTTTCTGGAAACATGTGCCTTTTATGTGGTTTGTGTATTACACACTAACCTCAGCTCTCTTTCATGAGTTCAACAATTCAACTTTAATGAGTTCAAGGGAACTGCAAAAAAAAATATTTTTGTCAAGCTTTTTGTTTTCAAGCCCACTTTGGTTTCTAATGTCTGATTAGAATATTAATAACCACCTCAGGGGGAAAAAGCGTAAGTAGCTTGCATACTGGGGGGGAGGGGGTAGCAGGTTCATTACACCTCCTCAGCCGGCAGCGTCATTAGGAGTGAGCCGTAACAGCACAGTTGCAAACTGGTGCGTCTGAGTGAAAATGGCCACAGGTGTTTCCTTTGGGACTCCTTTGTTTCTGATGCAGATTTGATCCTGGAATTTTAGCTGCTGCTTCAGAGACACCTATTAAATAAATGTGCACAAGTGTCTAGCACAATGTGGGTATAAATTAACGAGCGAGCGATGTTCAGTGATTAGAGCTGGGGCTGTTGGGTTTTCTTCCTGTCTTGCTGTGTGAACCTGGGCAAAATGCTTAGGGCCAGATTTTCAGAAGGGGCTTCTAAATACTGAGCCCCCTACACTCTGACGGGGGACAGTGGGAACCACAGGGGCTCAATACGGCTGCAAACCAGGCCCTGGGAATCAACAGCTGAACACCCAAAAACAGAGGCACCACTTTCTGCCTCGCTGTCCCCAGCTCTAAAACAGGGGTCACAATGAGTACCTCGGGCACCTCACAGGGTGTGGTATGGGTTTACCAAACAGAGTCCCTCTTTTCTGGTGACATGCGCTTCTATTCTGCAGCCCTTGCTGCCTGAACGTCCTTCAGCCGTTGACTGTTGAGATTTGATTTGGCATTTTCAGAAGGATGTGTAGCTCATGCGACTCTCTGACACTGCTAGTTTGCCCTTCCTAGGCCCTGATATTTATGCCAGACTCTCGGAGCCCAACTCCTCCTTTCCTCTGGCCAGGCAGCACCTCAATGAGTATTCAACACTGGAGATTCGGTTCTGCTAAAGAGGAAAACATTTTTTGAATCTCACTAGCAGCCCAACGAAACCCTACCTGAGTTTGCAGGCTGTTTGCGACATTTGGCTCAGGACTGCGAATTTGGGGATGTTATGGCTTCCGCCATCTGGTGGGTTTCGCTGCTCCCAGATGTGAAGCTTCAAAGGCAAGATCTGTATCCAAAGCGCTGCGGGGCTCTAGAACGGGGAATTGGTGCGGCTTGATAGGCCAGATACATGAGACAAAATGCTCTTCCTTTGCTGCCATGTTGCCTTGGTGTGTTCCCAGCACAGCATCGTCATTCTGATGCCATGGCGCAGAGGCCGATCGGCGTCCCCATGGGTGAGATTGCTTTTGCTGTGGTTTCCAGGCAGCAGAATGCGTGCGTCAGGGAACAGAATGTCCCCGCCACATTCCCAGCCTGCTAGCCTCGGGAAATGGAAGAGCCAGGGAGAAAAGCTAGCAGGGATGGTTCCCATTCAAATCAATGGGTGTAGCCCAAACACCTGCTTCACCTCCCCAGTGTGCAGTCAGCCGATCCTTCCCTGAGGAAGAGGCGGGGGACCCACTCCTTCCCCCTTTCTCTTACAGGAATGATCTCCGTGTGAGTCACTCCCAGCACCGCGAGGACCTTGTTTCCCTGGAAACGGGGCCTTGCCCCAGCAGCTGCAGGGCTCAGCTCG